ATATATATATATATATATATATATATATATATATATATATATATATACACACACACACACACACACACACACACACACACACACACACATATACACACTCATACATACATATAATCACCACAAAGATACAAGAACAATGTTTGGCTATTTCAGCAAGCAAATAAGAGAAAAAGTTGTTGTTGGTGGGGATTACCAAATAGCTAGTCTCAGTTCAGTTTCGAAGAGGGATCATACACCATGTTTCCCCATCTAAGCAATAACATACTACAAGACCAGACTGCAGTCCTTTACCTTTCGGAAAGGCACTTTTTCTTTAGAAAGTGATTCTGACGTCAGAGCTGGTCTGGTATTGTCTGTCACAAGATGGCTTAGTGTAGCTCTAGGGTATTTGACAATGAATGGAAATGTGTCCTGTGAGCATTGAAAGTACTAAGTTTCATTATACATCTGGTTGTTGAATTTGAATTGCAGACAAGGGATCCTAACATACCCAATCCCTCTCCATCAGAAATTAGTCAACCTATTGTCACTTAATTCAATGTTCCTAAACACTAACTTCTGGGTCAAGATACGCATTCCTTTTTCAACACAGGTTGTCACTGTTAAGTTTCTAAACAATTTGGGAAACAGCTGTCCATCCTTCAAGTCAGATTAGCAGTGATGGACCAAGGAAACTGCTGTACAAGAGTCAGTGTATCTGTTGTGAATGTCCCAAGAAGCACACAGAGCACACATCTGGGTTACAAAAGCCCTTTTATAAAGCCATTTTTAAACAAAACAAACCAAAAGGTTTACAAAAGAAAAAGATACAGAAAAAGAGTAACTTGCTTCATGTCCCCAAAAGAGGAAAAAAAAAAAATAATAAAGGGGACAATGCCAACATGCTCAATAATAAGAGGTTCTTTTCCTTATTTTTTAATACAAAATACAAGCAAAGGATACACGTACTTAAAACAAGGTTCAGGAGCAGACAGCAGTCCTGGAAATCCTCCAATCAGAGCAAAGCAGGAGTTTGGTTTTCTGTTTATGCAAATACATACAGACTGGGATATGTAAATGAAGTATCACACCAGACCACCACACAATTCTACCAATGCATGTTGCATCTATAATTTACGAACATGGTCAACAAAATCATGTTCATTTCAACTCGGTTTCATTTAAATTAAAGAAAAAAAAAACCCTTTAAATAAAGTGGTTACATTCAAACTTTAACTTCCTTAGTACCATGCTGTATATTTCAGCACTGCTAAGGTATTGCAAGAATGCCCAACCCTCTGTTGTCTGATCATGTATCTAGCCACAATGCATGCAGTATGAAGAACAGGATGCCAGACTCTCAGCCCAAAGCCTAAGACAGATAGGCTAGCTCTTTGATCCTTTCTGCTCAGATGAAAGATTATGAACTAAAACCGAGGAAGACTAGGAGTTTTTAGGACTGGCAAATTAAATCTAAAAGATGAATCAAGGCAAACAATTACTGAGATTGCGGTGGCTGTGTAATCTGGCAAGACTTACACCTTGCAAGAATGAAGCAGGTAAGGTTTGCTGCAACATGTTCATGGTCAACGAACTAGGTAGCGCTCTTATTTACAAATTTTGTAACAAATTCTTCCAGAGGAAAAAGGAGAAAAATTCACTAACTTCCAGAAGACAAAGGTTAAATTGCCAGACATTTACAAACACGCACTCACACATACCCACACCCATACACTTTAGCAGTTTATACATGTTATTTTCAGGGCATAATTGAGTACTATACTCCCCAACCCACCAAAAAAAAAAAAAAAAAAACACAAAACAAAACAAACCCAAAACTATTTACCCTCCCCTATAATCTAGAAAACCCCCCTCACCCAATATACAAAGTGTCTACACCACTGTGATGCTCTACAGCCACAGAGAGCATGCTCAGATGTCATCAGTTTGTTACTCAGTGGCATGGCAACAGGTAGGCATACAGGATTCTGCCCCCATAGTGGTTATTATAATCAGCACCACTGTGAATTAGGCTTTGAACAAAAGTGTAATATATGAACTTGATATTGAGAATTATGTATTTTGTTTTCTAAGACAAAGGGAAAAGGAGGTTGAAATAGAAACATGGCTACTGACAGTCTGACATCCCAAACTCAAAAAACAAACTTCCTATCTTCAAGTAACTCAGCAGCTTCCTCCAAAGAAAATGACAATATCCCACCCCCAAGAGCAACCAAAGCAACTTTCCCTCCCTTTTGGCAAGAACCACAGACTGCTTGTTTTTGACCTCCTTCTACACACCATGAAGTGCCTAGCTTGGATTTCTTCTGGTGCTACATGTAAAGAGAACTGTTATAGGCACTGGGCACTGACCCTTCAGCAGCAAGAAAGCTGTGTGTTGACTATTAAAATCTGCTCTTGAGTGGCCCCTAAGCCTGAGCTTTGTTGACACGGTTCCCCTCTCCAACCTGTAGGCCAAAATTCCACTTGTCACCTGCATGTTCATGGGCATAAAATTAAAAAAACCCTTATTTAAAAAGTGTCACCAGTCATGGTGGCATTAATCCCAGCAGTGGAGAGTTGAGACTAGGGGAAGGATTCCCAGCGAGGCTACAAAGTGAAACTAGGCCTAAAAAAAAAAAAAAAAAGTTAGGTTCAGCTGACTATATCCATCCAAACAAAAGTCCTTCTAAGAGTATAACCTCAAATTCCACTACTGATACGTTACGTTAAGAAAAAGAAAATGCTTTCTGAATTAGTACAAAATATAAGTATTGAAGACTGGAAAAACAAAAACAAACAAACAAAAAAAATAAAGACAAAACAAAAAACCAAACCACCAAGAGTTTAAAAATCAGCCATGTAGTAAGTTGGAGGCCAGCCTGCGGTACACAAAAACTGGCACTTTTTTGTTGTTGTTGTTGCCATTTTTTAAGAAAAGGTGTTTGTGGAAGAAGAAACATCCTACCATTAGTTTTCTTTTGCAAGGTTAATACGGAGTGAGAAGTATGAAAGCAGTAAGTGTTTCAGCGGACATTTAAAGCCCATCTGAGGTGAAGGGTTAAAAGCAGCAGTGAGCTACCACTGAGCGAGACAGAGGCTTTTAACAGAGCCAGGAAAACTAGAATGTAGTGTTAGTCAGCAGAGCTACTGCAATCTGTTAAGAGGTAAACCTAGCTGAGCTTCGATAACAGATAGGCACCTTCAAATAAACATCCCATTCCTGAGCACTGCAAAATAAGGTGATGGACGCATTGCCACTTCACTACAGGCACACTGGGGATGGGTGAGGGTGGGAGGGGAACAAAGAGGACACAAAATAAAACATGGAGGTGCCAAGGGCCAGTCATTATGAGCTTATAGCTATGACATACCCTCATGTAGTTATTAGAGCCAACTGCTGAGCACCTGTTTCCAGTTGAGTCACATTAAATGTCTTCCTATTTGCATGCATGATTTGAAGAGAAGACCAGTGTTACAAACCACTAAAAAAGTGAAAGCAAAAGTCATTCTGAGCCTGTGTGTTCACTTGAGACACCAAACAACCCAACAAACCTGTAATTAAAAAATATAATTTTCAATCTAATGAATTAGCTTTAAAAGGGACTCTAAACAAGTAGTCCAATTAGACACACATTTTACACAACTAACCTAGAAGACATTATTTCTCAATTACAGGTAGATAAAATCAGAGATGTTAGTGCAGATTGATATATTAAAGAAATTGTTAAAAATTTGAGGCTAAAATTGAGAGAGACCCTACCCATAAATTTTCATGAAATATAAGCTAAGTAAAGCCCAAATGTCACTAGGAATGTAAGACTGAGTTATAAACCCCTAAAAGGGAGAGATGCCTGGTGGAAACCTTGAGTCTCCTTTCTTTAAGGATGGGTACCTGAGCAAGCCCACTAAAGCAAATAGAATAATCTGTAATACCCCACTACATAGCTCACAACTATATATTTCATTACATAATAATCCAACTGCTTATGTTCAAGTATCTATTTTTGGCCATGTTTAATACTCATTTATTAACAGTGCAGGGTTGAAATGACTCTCTGCCACTAGATGTTTTACTTGTTTATTTATTTTTAAAGCAGATCTAAGAATGTTCTTTAAAGTGTCTTAAAAACCAGAGTAAAAAATATTTCTTAAATAACCCTTTGTCCTATGAACACCTATGAGAAAATGACATTGTTTGAGACAAATACGTCACTTAAAAAAAAAAACAACAAAACACAAAAGCAGAATACTGAAGAAGCAAATTTAGCTTAAGTGCAGAAAAATATACAGAAATTAATCCACTGTATCTTTAATTTAGTAGCATAATAGGACTCTGCTTCTATTGGTGCATGGGATCTGAATGTGGAGGATCAAACCTACAGGTCTATGTCCTGATGCTTTGCTAAGGTGTCTAGACTTCAATGGCACATAGGCACTGTTAAAATATATAGTTTGCTCAACCCGTTGAGGCTCAGGCTCTTGCCTAAGAAACATGAACAGAAAAGAGGAGTCAGACCAACTTTAAGAAGCAATCAAGCTCCATAGTACGAAAGCAGTGGAAGTGTGAGATTATGTCATATCATGTTACTATGAACAAAAGTAAAGACTGAAATATCAAAAGGAAACTTTCTATCCCCAAATAAAAACAGCCTGGTTCATGGGCCCTTATTTTAATTACCTGTATTCGTAAAGGATAAATCTCAATCCTTTGTATCTGAGCTTCACACTAACTCATACTTTATTTGCTTAAAACTTTGACATTGCTAGCCTGTAAAGAAGTGCACTGTGAGGTGTAGTCATTGAAATGCTAAGAAATCTCTTTAATTTTTGATCATTGGAAAAACTTTATCCAAAAAACAGGATATATATTTTTTAAAAACATGAATCAATGAAAACATGAATGACATAAAATTAAGAGTGATTCTGGTGGTCCATTTAAAAACAAAACAAAACAAAACAGTTATTGAGACAAAAGGACCACTGACTCTGAGAATAACAAATATAAAACAAGAAAGCCCACATTCCCAAATAAGCTTTGGGAACTCATTCCCTCTACACCTGGGGAAATAATGTGAGTACTGAGTTAATCCAGAATTCATGTTCACCTTCCAACTGCCTCACTAGTATAAATTTAGTCATGATTCTTTTCAACATTTATACTTTGGACATATAAGCTCATGTTAAATGACAACTGGTCTGTCAAAAGTACAGGAAAAGAAATAACAATCATTTTCAATTAAAACCTTTCTAGTTTTTTTTTTTTTTTGAACTATTGTTCAAGTTGATATTCTTTAACAAAAAGCAAAGTTTCCATAGCGTTCATCTCAAATGTTATTGCTTTACAGCGTGGTTTTTCTTCCTTTCATTAAAAATACAAAGATGAAACAGTCAATTAATTCACATGGCTTTCACTGGGAGAAGGGGAGGGATTGGCAAAGAATAAAAACCGTAAAACAAAATGGCAACTTAAACACTTCAACATACAATGGTTTTGATAGTGAGACAGATAAACATTATTTTAGACAAATGAAATAGCACTGAAAGCCCATGAGTCAAGCCACAGCCCAAACCATGTCCTATGTAGGTTTCCTTTTTTTGTTTTTTAATAAAATCTCTCCCCAAACATCACTTTTAATCTTCCCCGGATGGGGCTTCATCCTCAGACCCTTCATCTCCAGACTTCTCGAGTAGGGGGCTTGCAGATGTCTTCTTTTCTGGAGGGCTTTCTGCTTCCTCCTCCTCTTCTTTGGGAGAAGGAGCTTTTTCCTTTGATGCCTTAGAGGCAGTGGGGCGACCCACTTTCCCTTTGCCTTTCACTGGACTTGGCGTCACTGAAATACACAAAGTAGCAATTTGGGGAAGGAAAGAGAACAAAATGCCTTTAAAAAATAAGCTCCAAAAAATAATAAGTTTATTAGTATAAAAAACAATCCCATCTCACTAAAAAGAAAACACAAGGCTATAGAAAAAGCCTATTACTCCTAATGAGGATAATGCAACTTCTGAGCAGAAACTAGAGCCAGTTTTTAGAGTCCCATTGCCCTCTATGAAGAGATGAATAAAGTTTTAAAATAAGAATCTCATTAATTCTATTTGCCAGATTTTATTTGTAATAATTCTATTTGATTTGTAAGCAAATACAGGCTTTAATAATATAATATAGATTTAATAAACTAGGTCCAACTAGGAGAGTACCTGGTAGAAGCCCTGAAGACCTAGAAGATAAATCCTTATTGTCATGGTTAGTTTTGTTTCTACTGTCAGTATTATTTAATCCTGACAGAGGATGAGATAGAGACGGGAACAGAGAGCCTTCCCTATCTGCTGAGACTGACCCCAGAACAGTCAATGCTCTATGAGCAGTGAGGAACAATGCCTGAAACAAGCAATCTATTCTCAACATATAGGCCAACTCCACAGGTTCTTTTTATAAAAAAAACAATCATATACATATAAAATTTAATTTTTACTTTTATGTGCAATGATGTTTTGCCTGTAATCATGTCTGTGTGAGTGTGTAAGATCCCCTGGAACTAAAGTTACAGACAGCCATGTGCTCCCACGTGGATGCTGGAAATTGAACCCAGGTCCTCTGGATGAGCAGCCAGTGCTCTTAACTACTGAGCCACCTTTCCAGCCCATTCTTTTTTTTCTTCAAAACTTATTTTTAATTATGTACATATGTATGTGCCTGTATGCCAGCTGGGGTCACAGGTGACCTGATATGCTGTGGAACTGAACTTAGGTCCTCTGGAAGCAGTATGAGCTCTTTGCTTTTTCCGAGACAGGGTTTCTCTGTATAGCCTTGGCTTCGTAGACCAGGCCTGCCTTGAACTCACAGCTATCCTCCTGCCTCTGCCTCCCAAGTGCTGGGATTATGGGCGTGAGCCACGTCTGGCTACAGTATGTATTCTTAATCACAGAACCATCTCTCCAGTCCACATGTGAACTTTGGATTTCTTGTATTTCTACCAAATAAAAGGCCAATGCTGAGACCTAAGTTTAGTTCTTGAAAGCATTTTTAAGGCAGAAATGTGGTTTTACTTTCACAGGTCTCACCTGTAGCCTTTAGTCTGGGTTTGGGCATTTTCTTTTCTTTTCTCTCAGGTTTGGACTTCTTAACCATCTTTTTGTTTTTCTTTTTTGAACTGCCATAATCACTATCATCATCGTCTTCCATTAGGAAATCTTCATCGCTGCCAGAATCTTCTGAGAGGAAAGAAGAATTTCAACGTCCAACTTAAATGTATACATCCTTCCAAGTGAACAAAGGGAGAGAGTGCTGAGAATGACGGGAGGAATAGGATTTGGGAGTTAAATACTACTGGATTCAATCAGGAGCTACACCACGAACTTCGCTGGAATGCCCCTGGCCCAATGTAGAGCGGGTATAGTATGGATCTTACATATAATAGATGACTGACTTGTTCTAAATTACTTTAATTTTTTAAAAAAAAATTATGAATGACTCTTGTGAAGAACTGGTTGAAAACAGAACAGAGAAGACACAATAATCTGAATAAAAACTGAACCCGATCTGGTCCCTACACTCAGGAGGTTAAAGTCAGAGGATGGCAAATTTGAAGGCAGCTATGGTTTCCTTGAGACCAAACAAGGCTGGGATGAACAGAGGTACAGCACTTGGCTACACTCACTGTGTAGGACTCTGACATCGAACCCTAGTACTGCAAAAATACAAACCTGGAAACCGTTAAATACCAAGTAACTCTTGTTAGCTCTATCACTCTCATGTATACTGTTGAAACAAGCCTGAACTTACCTGGTATATTTTAATACCAACCTTGAATAAGGAACAAGAAAACAATGCTAACATGTGAAAAAAATATAAATTCTGTAACTTTTTTGGCAAGTTGAAGTGGTCTATAATCCTCTGCCAGGCTAAGATGCAAACTGTAAACATAGTGCTCATCATTAAAGGTTATTGTTTAGTCAGTGTCTGAACACAAGTTTCTTAGAGTAGAGACTATTATAAATGATGGATAACCGTTAAGACTTTCTGGTCATGTAAAAATATTAATAAGTACCAAATGCAGTCATCTCTTTTAAGTTCAAGATTGAACAGATCTATTGCCAAATTCTACTGAATCTTAAAACAAAACAAAACAAAACAAAAAAAACCCAAACATTTGTTTTTATCTTTCACTTATACATATGTGCGGGATGCTCTAGAACAGGATGTTGGATACTGTGGAGGAGGGAAAGCTGAGGCATCTATCCCCATTGTTTTATTCTTTTGTTTTGAGACAGGGTCTTACAAGGTAACCCTGGCTGTCCTGGAACTTACTCTGGAAGACACTTCAGGCTGGTGTTGAACTCACTGAGATCTGCCTGCCTCTGCTTCCTGAGTGCTGGGATTAAAAGAACGTGACACTGCACGTAGCTGCACAATTTTATCTTTTAGCAGGTCGCATCTGCCCAGTTTAAGAAATAAAACATTTAGCAAAATACCAAAGTAAAAAACTACAATTGCAAAGAAGGAGCAGGATGGAGATGAAGCTCCAATGACAGAGTGCTTGCCTAGCATACACAAAGCCTCAGGTTAGATAGATCCCCACTTCTCCATAAAACTGGGAGCAGTGGTGCAGGCAGATCAGTAGTTCAAAGTCATCCTCAGCTACACTAAATTGAGGTCAACACAGGATATACAAGAGCACACCTAAACAAATGACTAAAGAACAGTAGGTAACTTCACATACTCTCCTGGAATGGTGCCTCATCATCTTCTTCTGGCTCTTCCTCACTGCCAACATCTTCCAAGAGCATCTCTCTCTGTTTTGAAGCTGCTTTAGATGCTGCCTGTCGTTGCTGGCGTACATTTTTATGATCATCTTTTTCATCTTCACTGTCTTCTGCAATATAAAAGTTACTGTGATACAACAATCAAAATAAGAAACAGCTTCACTTCATTCAAAGAGGAATAAAATTTATCCTTAAAAATTTCTTAAAGGCAGGTATGGTGGCACACATCTGTGACCCCATCTAGAGCATGGAGAGTTCAAGATCTACCTGTACTAAAAAGACTGATTTTAAAAAAATCTTGGAAAATATAGAGTGCTAATGTTAAGAATCAAGTTAAATTAAAAACAAAGGTACTTGTGGTATATAAAGATCTGGGTGGTCTCAAAATTACAGAGGGCTGCCTGCCTCTGCCATCATGCCTAGCTTAGTTTTTCTAGCATGCACTCTAGAAAAGCTGGAAAACTGAATTATGAACTAAAAACTATGAACACACAGTTCCTTTAACACTGTAAATTTATAACTATTTAATCCTAAAATCATCAATTACACAGAAATCCTATGTATAGTGATTTTAGAAGATAAAGTCAGAAAAATATTTTAAAAGAAGGAGCCTAACTTCCATTTATCTCTATCTTGAGATAAGAAACACTGAAAAACAATGCTAAACTACTACTCCTTATAATGAATTGGGTGACCTTTTCAACTTAGAGATAGGCAGAGGGAAATCTTTAAAAACACGTTTAGATGAGCTAGCTAAGGATTGTGGACAGGCTTATAAAATTTTTCTCTCATATACCACAATGAATTAATTAATGCTCCATCAATACAGTTGTTTAATCTGCTAAATCAAGGGCAGGCTGCTAGCCTACTAGCTCTAGGCTGAGCTTCCTTCCTTCGGGTTTTTATTTTTTATTTTTCTCTGTGTAGCCTTGGGACCCAGAGATCCTCCTGCCTGTAATCCTCACACTCAGAGGCAGAATGGGGTTTTCCCCCTTTCTTTTTCATTTTTTTTGAGACAGGGTTTCTCTGTGTAGCCTTGGCTGTCCTGGACTCACTTTGCAGACCAGGCTGGCCTCAAACTCACAAGAGAGCTACCTGCCTCTGCCTTCTTGAGTGCTGGGATTACAGGTATGCAATACCAAGCCCTGTTCTTAGTTTTTTTTTTTTTTCCTTTAAAAACAAAACAAAGGGCTGGAGAGATGGCTCAGTGGTTAAGAGCAGTCTGCTCTTCCAGAGGTCCTGAGTTCAATTCCCAGCAACCACATGGTGGCTCCTAGCCACCTATACTGGGGTCTGATGCCCTCTTCTGGCATGCAGATGTTCACGTAAATAAATAAAATCTTTAAAAACAAAACAAAACGGAGTGCTTAGTAGGTGGCTCTTCAGATAAGAGGATTTGTTGCTCTTGAAGAGGACAAATTCAATTCCCAGCACCCACTTGGTAGCAGCTCACAACCACCTGTAACTACAGCTCCAGAAGATCTCACACTCTTTTCTGGTCTCTGTGAATCCAAGCCATGTACAGGGTATATAAACATACATGCAGGCAAAATATACATATTAGAAATAAAAAACACAGTACGCCTTTTATTTATTCTGTGAGAATAGAAACATATAGTCCTTTTCTTTTTTTTTTTTTTTTTTCCAGACAGGGTTTCTCTGCGTAGCCTTGACTGTCCCAGACTTGCTTTTATAGACCATGCTGGCCTCAAACTCACAGAGATGTGCCTGTTTCTGCCTTTTGAGTGCAGGGATTACAGATGTGTTCTACCATGTCCAGCTATACACTTCATTTTGATCTAATCTATCCCCTATTACTCTATTCCTACATCCTCTAGCTCACTCCCAAAACAGACCCCTCTTAATTTCACCGTATGTGTGTTTTAATAAGCCAGTGAGTCTAACTAATGCTGTCCACATGTGAATGGTATAAGGCCTTCCATTAGAGCATGGCCACTTTCTAGTAACTACTGACTATCAAGAGTTCCTAAACTAGTTGGTTGGGCTTTGTAGGGATCTCCCCTGCATGGTCAATGTTTAACTACTTCTTCTAGAGACAATTAGGGAATAAAGCTGACTATGGCAGACCCTAAATGAAACCAACTTGGGAGGAGTTGTGCTTAACACAAGTACAGAACAAGTAGCCAGAAGCAGTAAGGAATACAACTTTCAAACCTCAAGAGTTAAACACAACAGATTATTCTTATCCACAGCTATTCCCCATTAATTAAAAAACAAAACAAAACTTTACCTTTTTCTTAGTTTTTTTTTTTAATTACAGGGTCCCTTTCTCTATGGAATGTAGCCTGGCTAGCCTAGAAGTCATACAGTAGACCAGGCAGGCTGTCCTCAAACTCAGAGACCCACCTGCCTCTATCTGCTGAGTTATTTTTACTTTTAGTTATGCATAAATGTGGACTATGTACATGTGAACATAGGTGACTGAGAAGGCCTCTGGTACTCCATTTCCCCAGAGCTAGAGTCACAGAAAGTAGTAAGCCATCAGATGTGGGCAATGGAAATAGATCCTCTGCAAAAACAGTCAGCATTCTAGTCCTTTAATTTTTTTGGGACAGGTTTTCCTTATGTAACCTTGGTCGGCTTTGTACTTTGCAGCAATCCCCCATTTCAGCAATCAGCTGTCAGGGAGTGGACATAGGAAAAAAACCATAGAGAGTAAAAGGAAGTCAAGAGGACCGATAGACAGACAAGGAAATAGAATGGAGGGACACTTAGTATGAGGGTTTTTGAGACTATGGAGAAGGTCAATTGGGTGCTTTCTCCGTCTCTCTGAGCTAGCAGGCTTTCACTCCAGCATCTGGCTCCCAAGTCTCCATTAGTAAAATCAAATGTTTGAGATTTTGTTAAAAACAAAAATGGGCATTGGTGTTTTGCCTGCATGTATATACATGTGAGGGTGTTAAGTCCCCTGGAACTGGAGTTATGGACTGGTGTGAGCTACCATATGGGTGCTGGGAATTAAACCTGGGTCCCCTGGAGGAGAAGCCAGTGTTTTTAACTGCTGAGCCATCTCTTCAGCTACCCTAATAAAAAGGTATCTTACATATAAAACTGATTGTTAATAAAGGATGAATTCTTCCTACTGCAATAAATATGGTTTACCTGCTGAGTGAGAATCATCCTTCTTGGTCTTCACATCTTTTTCTTCTGAGTCTTCACTGTAAGGCAAATAGAAAAAAAATGCTGAAAAGTCTTACATAAAGGCTCTGTGGTCACTGGGCATGATGGCTGCATGTGCACTCCCAGGACTGACATCAGTTCAGGCCCATCTTGGGCTACATAGTGTGTTTTAGGCCAGCCAGCCTAAACAGGACCCTAAGCTGGGTATAGTGGCACCTGCCTTTAATCTCAGCACTTGGGAGGCAGAGAGAGATAGATTTCTGTGTATTCAACGACAGCCTAGTGTACACAATGAGGCTTTGTGTTTAAAAAGTTAACACTTTGTCTTTAGGGGAAAAATGTCCAATCAGATTTCTGGTATCTTAATTAAAAGAACACTGAAGAGTATCTCTTTCATTCCTTTCACATATAAAGTGTTCAAACGTGCTGAGGAATGAGACTGTTTAATTATTCCCTTACATTACAGGGATCTAGTGAATAGCTATAATTTTACTCTCATGGAAAAACAAACTAAGTCCCAATACCGAAGGAGAGTTTACATATCTAACTTATGACCAAGTATATGACCTTCTCTAGTTATTTCAATGAGAAAAGTCAAGGAAAAGCTCAATTTTTAATAGAAATAAATAGCAGCACAATAAGAAAAAACATTAGGAAAGGTGAGAGTAAAACTCAACAGGGCACAGAGCTTAGAACACCACAAGCTGTGGTTATTACTCTGCTATTGACCTGACTGAGGACGAACTACAAGGAAATATCAATACCAACCTTAAACTAGCAAGTTACAAAGTTAAAACACACTTTTGGCTCATGTCTTTAAGTTTGAGAAAGGAGCAAGAAGCAGTCCTGGAGCTCACTTCTGATCCAAAGCTGAGACCAAGTTGCTTCTGGGAAACAGGCTGACCTGCAGGTCTGAAGTGAGACCCAGACTACATACAGGAACTTCATCCTTATAGCTCACAGACTGTCATCACTTTAGAGTGCTGACAATGTAAGTAGGAAGATAAGAACAATGAAGTCTCCTACCTGTCTTCTTGTGAATTTTTCCCAGACCGCCTCTTATTTTTAGCCTCTCGAGGAGATGATCGAATTTTCTTAGCAGGAGGTCCTGAATCTCTTCCATAGTCTTCATCTAAACCAGAACAATTTCAAATTCAGTTAATTATGATGTTTACATGCTAAAATCACACATTACTCCTCATGCTTTTTAAATAAATGGGACCAGATTTCCCCTGTATTTTCTTTAATTAAAGAGGGGTGGGGGCTGGAGAGATGGCTCAATGGTTAAGAGCACATGCTTATTATTCCAGAAGACCTGGGTTTGACTCCTAGCACCCACATGGTAGCTCACAACTCTAGATGCAGAGGATCTGATGCCCTCTCTTCTGACCTCTGTAGCTGGCAGGCAGGCATGTTGTGCACAGAAGCACACACAGGCACCTAGCAGACTGAGTTCTATTTCTATTACCATAAAAATAAAAGGACCAGCAAGATGGCTCTGCACTTGGCTGTGCAAGCCTGAAACCTAACTTAGATCCTCAGAAGCCACAGTAGGACTCATTCCCAAAAGTTTTTCTCTGATCTCTCTGAGTACACACACTTATACATACATATTACATACAAGCACACACACAACAAGAAGTAAAATTTACGAATTCCTCCCCAGTCCCACCTATTTTAATTCCATTTTACATATTGTCTAGCTCTTATACACATACATCTTATACATCCACACCACAGCCTTTTATAACATTCCCATCTACTTTATGATTTCCCCACGTTTCAACATCTTTGTATCTATCTGAAATTATAGTAACATGGTTTTATCATAAACATCTTAGAAAGAAAAACCCTAAAATTCCATAATCATTTATTTTTCAGGGTTTCTCTGTGTAGTCATGGCTGTCCTCCCGCCTGCCTCTGCCTTCAGTGCTGAGATGAAGGGTGTGCACCATCACACCTGGCTTCAAATTCTATACTCTTAACACAATACTGTGATCAAGTAAATTACTCTTAAACTGAAGTATTAAATATACAATGCAGAGGAATGAGATCACATCCAAAGACCTTCTAGGTATGTACAATCCAACTGGAATTACAAACACACTTTTAAGCCAGGAAGACAGAGGCAAGCAGATCTGAGTTCAAGGCCAGCCTGGTATAGAGCAAGTTTCAGGTAAGAAAAGCTTAGGTCCAGGTGTGGTGGCACACACCTTTAATCCCAAACAATGAAGGTAAAGTGAGATGGTAGAAGGAAGCACATGTTTGAAAGTGATGTCTAACTGAGTGGCAAAAACAGTGATGAATCATAGAAAGACCTGACAGAATAGGATACGCCCAACTTTCACAAGAAGAGAAAGAAAATAGAAGCTACTTAAGGCACAATGAGAAAGAAGAGGCAGCTTACTGGGATAGTAATAAAGAGATGGCTTGAAAAGAGAGAACTCCGGTGAAAACTGAATGAGCCAAAGAATGAGAAGGAACCAGAACATTAGAAAAGATTGTTGTAGTTAGTTTGAGCCCAAGCAGTATTTGAGGGCTGAGAAGTCAGCTGGGAGAGGAGTTTGAGCCAGAACAGCTGAGTTGAACCAGACAGCTTTGAGCTCAGTAAGACAAGAAAGGGTGAGCTTACTAAGTAGTGTCTCACAGGCTGAAAACATTCTAGGCCTACGTTACACTGTACAGAGGCTAGAAGCTTCCAGGACTAGGCCTACCTTAGCAGAAGAGGGCAATAATCCTCAAAGACAACAACTGAACCAGGTGAATATAAGTTCCTTTTACAATATAATGCACTCTGGACACTTTTAACTATAGAAAAATATCTCCAATTTTAAACGCCTCATAAGAAAATCGCACCTTAACTGATGATTACTCCCAAAGTTGTTACCCTCTTCCACATACAATGATGAGAAACTACAAGTAAGCCTGGGACTTTGGCAGTTATTAAAATTTCTGGGTTCACTATAAATTCCCTAACCATTTTTAGAATTTAATCCTAACCATTAGTAGCAATTATTTTAATTGTGTGTGTATGTGGTTATGCGCACATGAGACAGGTGTTTGTGGATGATGTGAACTGAACTCAGGTCCTCTGCTCCTTAAAAATAACAATAAAATTAAAAAAGGGGGGGCTAGAGAGATGGCTCAGAGGTTGAGAACACTGGCTGTTCTTCCAAAGGTCCTGAGTTCAATTCCCAGCAACTACATGGTGGCTCTTAACCATCTACAGTGAGATCTGGTGTCCTCTTCTGGTGTGCAGGCACACATACAGGCAGAATGCTGTATAAATAAATAAATCTTTAAAAAAAAGAAAAAGAAAAACAGACCCAAGAAAGACAAGAGCAGTGCCCAAAATCCTACAGCAAGACCCTTAGCCACATTTAGATAAAAAAGAAAAAGAACACCAAACAACAAAACAAAGCAAAACCCAAAGAACAGCCAAGCATTTATTTGCATGTGTATGGCATGGCATGCCTGCCAGATGAGTTCTCTCCTTCCACTGTATGCATTCTGGGGAGCAATTTCAAATTGTCAAGCTGGGCATTAAGCACCTCTGCCTGCTGAGCCATACCACAGTCCCTCAACTACATTTTTTAAAAGATCAAAGTTGAGAGGAAAAAGGTCAAAACAGCTACATGTCAACTTAAGGGACATTAAGTATCAACTCTAGTTTCCTTAACTGCAAAATGAAATGAGATCCCATAACAGCATTGCTCTAAAAAATAAGCTATTAAACATAAACATTTAGGACAATTCCTGGAATGTGTAAAATTAATTAGTTTGTATTACTTTAGAGACAGAATTATGTATCAAGTTTTTAATTCTTCTGTGTATCTTCCAAGGCTTCTCAAGGGGTACATTATTATCTCTATAAAGTAAAATTAGGGAGCTGGAGAGATGGCTTAGGTTAAGAGAACTGGCTGTTCTTCCAAAGGTCTTGAATTCAATTCCCAGCAACCACATGGTGGCTCACAACCATCTATACATGAGATCTCGTGCCCTCTTCTGGCGTGCAGGTACACATTCAGGCAGAATAATGTGTAAATAATAAATAAATATTTTAAAACAAAACAAAAGTAAAATTAGGGACTCAGCAGTTAAGGCCACTGGTTGTTCTTTCAGATGACAAGGGTTCAATTCCTAGAACCCATAGAGCAGCTCTTAATGGCAGCCAACGACAGTTCCAGGGTCTGAGTCCTTCCATGGCCTGTACAGGCACTGCACACACTTGGTGCACAGGCATAAATGCAAACTCCCCCACAGAAAGTGATACACATTTAATCACGTAAAACCAGATAATAAAGGCTCATTTGACTTCATTATACAAAAAGCACAAGTTCCTCACGCAGAGATCTTACTGTGATAACAACTGCAACAGCACAATATTCTTGTTTTTGAATCAGGGTCTTGCTATGATGTCATAGCTGGTCTGGAATTCCTGAGCTGAAGTGCTCCACCTGTCTCTGTTTCCTGAACAGTTGGGACTTCTGGCTCACATTAATTATTGTGCTTAGCTAGCAAGCAGTAGGTATTTTTCTATACAAATAAACACTGAATCAGAATCACTGGACATTTAACCTTTGGATCTTAAAACCAGGTAAGAGGAACAAAACAACACAAAACAAAACAAAACAAACAAAAACCCCCAAGAAAACAAAAAACAAACAGACGTTTATTTCAATGATTTACAAGAAAAAGGTAAAAGCCAGGCATGGTGACACACATACCCACACCTGCAATCCAGTAATTGTGAGGGTAAGGCAAAAGCATTTTGAGTTCAAGGACAGCCTAGGCCCAGAACTTATCTCAAAGAAAATGGTCATGTTCATGATTTGTTTGACACAGACGACTGGTAATCTCAAATAATAGAAGCCTTCTAAAAGCATGATAAAAAGCACATAAGCTGACACTTCTGCAGTACAAAACATGACTTGTAGAAGATCACAAGACATACCTGCATCATCTGATTCTTGAAACTGTGAGTAATCCACGACCTTCCTATTTCTGCAGAAAGAGACAAATTTAAATGATTAAAAAAAAAAAAAGTTTGATTTCTTAGACACCAGAATACACATTTTAGTTTTATAAAAAGAAAAGCTCTTAGACCAGGCATAATGGTGCATTACTTTAATTCCTTGGGAAAGAGGTAGGCAGAGACCCTCCTTCAAAAAAAACAAAATACCAAAAAAAACCTCAAAAGCAAAACCCTCTTGGACTTATGCTATGCACTTCAGCGACAACTTTAAACACTGTTCTCCCAAGCTCTACATTTTCCACTTCCCCCAAAACGGAACTGGCAAATGAACCTGTTCACCACATGTATGTAGTATATATTACACATAGATGACTACATCCCCAGGGCAGATGTTTAAGTGTGATTTTACTCTTTTTCTTTATTTCTATATCATGTAGCCCTGGCTGCCTGGAACTTGCTTATATAGACAAGGCTGTTCTCTAACTCAGAGTTAGAGGTAATAGTCACCAACTATTTTTTACTGTGATATACACACTTACACTTGAAAAAACAAGATTACTGCTAGATTAAAAAAAAAAAAAAGCTTTTAAGGTATAATATAGTTATGCTGCAATGCTCCCACATTATGTTAACACTAAGTTTCAGAAGAAAAAAAATTTACTGGTGAAGTCAAATGATGCTAAAAAAAAAAAAAAAAAAAAAAATATGTCCATGGGGGCTCACTAACCGAAGAGCATGAGCAGGCATGGGCTGTACCTACATATATGTAGCAGATGTGCAGTTTGTTATTCATGTGAGTCCCCTAACAATTAGAGCGAGGACTGTCTGACTCTGTTGCCTGCTTTGGATCCCTTTTCACATAGCTGGGCTGCCATGTCTGGCCCCAGTGGGAGAAGATGCACCTAGTCCTACAACTGAAGGGGAAGTTGGTGGAGGGGATGTGAGGGTGGGACTAGGAGAAAAGGAGGAAGGGGGACAGTGATCAGGCTGTAAAGTGAATATAAAATAAAACCTTTTATAAAAAGATATATTTTATATGTAAGTTATTTATATACATGCATGTATACCATATATGTTCTGGTACCTATGGAGTGCAGATTTGGAGCTGGAGTTCCAGGTCCTGAGGGTGCCTAACTTGGTGCTCGCTCTGAGACAGGTCTCAGGGTACAACAAAAGCTGACCTCATACTCAGGACTGTCCTGTCCTGCTTCTTGTCTCCACTGTTGCAATTACAGATGTGCACCCCACCCAACCAATGCAATTTTGCCTTCGGTTTTATTCTATGAAAACTATGAAATCTGGAGATGATTGTTAAGTATCTGGGAGAATGTGCATAGGTCATATACAGCATTTCACATAAGGAACTTAAAAAAGTGTATTTGCACACTTGTTGTATTATGGCTAAAGTACCTTTTTATGAACCTGGTCTTGTGAAAGTGGTAGCTGGAAAACAAAAACAAAACAAAACAAAAAACTACCATGATCAAAATCTAACATTTATAAGGATTACTTAAGTACAAGGGTATGAGACGTCCTGTTCTATCTATTCCTAGCAAAAACAAACAAAGTCTTATCAAAATCCTACTAGGGAGCCAGAAATGGTGGCAACACACCTGTCACCCCCAGGAAGGCAGAGTCTGAGGTGGACTGGGTTGCAGAGAGTCCTAGTCTCAAAGTGCTATTTAAATGCCAAGTGGAACTAACTCTTCAGTTGTAACAGTAACTACCAGAAACGTGAGCAAATACAGAATTTCAACACAACACAGATGACTATACTAGATTGCATCAGGATTCTGCCAGGTTCTATTTCCTTGAGTAAGGAATTTTCCCTCAATCACCATGATTTTTTTTTTCCAACTGTAAAATAGGAGGAATACTCAAGAATGGAGCTGGAGATATGGCTCTGTGGTTAAAGTGGCTCTTGACCAATCCTACTCCCAGCAGATGGCTCACGACTCTTTTAACTCTAGCTCTGAAGAATCTTAGCCACTCCTCTGGACTCCTTGTGCACAAACCTACATATTTACACTTACACACACGCATACACACACACTAATATAGACACACACATTAGTTTTTTGAAACAGGGTCTCACCATATAGCCTTGGCTACCTCGAACTCAGAGATCTGCCTGCCTCCATAGTAAAGGCATGTGCTACCACACCAAGAAAAAAATCAACCTTAAAGCAAAGCTATTCAAGATTGCCCTGGGAATGAGTGCAAAGTAAGTAATGACTATCTAATAAATATCAGTTGTTATTACTTCTATCTCCTTACTTTTTGTTTTTCTTTTTGGTTTTTCAAGATAGGGTCTCTGTGTGTAGTCGTGGCTGTCCTGGAACTTTCTCTATATAACTGCAAACACAGAGCTAGGCCTGCCTTGCCCCGAGTGCTGGGATTAAAGGTACCTGCCACCACTGCCCAGCATCTATCTCCCTATTTTATGTTAACTTATTTCCAGCTTTACATGGCAGTTTTCAAGCTTCCTTTTAGGTTGGGAAGAGTAGCCATTTTATCTTTCAATCAGAGTTCAAAAGAGGGCATTAGATCTCCTGAAACTGGAGCTATGGATAGTTAGTGAGCCACCACCATGTGGGTGCTGATAATTGAACCTGAGTAATCTGAAGAACAGCTAGTTCTCTTAACCACTGAACCACCTCTATAGCCCCAAACTGAATTATAGCAATTTCCATCCTTTAAGCCAACTGAAATTCCATCCAAACAAATCCAAAACTTTGTACTAGAAAGAAAATCCCCAACATAGGAAACAAGCAACACAAGAATCGGGACCACCTCCTCCCCAAGCAACCGAGAAGTATTCAAATTTCAATGATGCATTTGTATTTACTTTAACTGATATAATCTATACACTTATATTGAAACAGGAGGATTACTTTGCTGTTAGTGTGAGGCCAGCCTGTGCCATACAGAAAGATTTTGCTTATTTAAAGAAAATATACTCTTGGGGTATATTTATTAGTGGTTCCCTACCCCAAATTAAATGAGGGTGGGGAATACTTGCTTACAATTAACTATTTGGTCCTGAACATGGGTAAAGGGGAAATAATTTTAAAGGTGATAGGACTTTTAAAAGTAAAGCATGGTGGAACAAACTTGTCTCACCATTTGGGAGGTAAAGGCAGGAGGATCAGATTATCAAAATCTTCAATTACACAGCTGAGTTCAAAAGCCACCTAAGCCACTTGAGCCACCTAAGACCCTGTCTCAATACACCCCAAAGCAATAAAACTTTAAGTATAATTATCAATTTCTTTCTACTAAATAGTGACAGAATGTTGAGGGCTGGTAAAATGGGTAAAGGCACTTGTCACCAACTCTGATTACCCGAGGACCAGCATGGTGGAAAAGGAAAATGACTTCCACAGTTGTCCTCTAGCCTCCACATGCATGATGTGAAATGCATACCCACATATTGTACAAATTAATGTGTAATTTCTCCTAAAAAGAGAAAAAAAGAAAAAAACCAACTAAACATACAAAAAACCCTAACCAAACAAGAATGTTATTTTCACGTACCAGGAACATTATTTTTGTCTGCTGTAAGAAACAGAATTCTGTCTGAAGAATGAAAGAGTGAAGGAGAATAGTGTTTGAGCTAGAAAACAAGTTTTGAAATTATTTCACCAGGCTAGTTTTGAACTTACCCATCTACTTCTGCCTTATGAGGACTGGAATTAAAGTTATGTATCACCATGACAACCCTAGAATTTTGCTGTTTTGTAACAAGTCTGCACATCTATCTGAAATCTATGTGAGGAAAGCTGAACTAACACTGGCAATCGACTGTCAAATGCAAACCCTATCATCAGGACTTAAACTATACGCACAACACAGAGCACAGCTATTAAAAAAAATTAAGGCCCCAAGAGACTTTATTTTTGTTTTGCTTTTTTTCAAGCCAGAGTTTCTCTGTGTAGCCTTGGCTGTCTTAGATTTACTTTGTAGACTAGGCCGGCCTTGAACTCAAGAGATCCAACTGCCTCTGTCTCCTGGAGTGATGGGATTACAGGCATGTGCCACTTCGCCAGGCCCAAGAGAGATATATAAACAACCTACAGTTCAAACAATGCTGACTGTATTACTACTTTTATTGCAGAGTTAATTAATTTTATAAAAAACTGACTTTCTGTGGGCTGGAGAGATGGCTCAGTAATCAATAGCACTGGCTGAGTTTGGATCCAGCACCCAAGTCAGGTGCTCACGACCACCTGTAACTCCAGTCAGTTCCAGAGGACCCAACACTCTCTTGACACCCGGCCCCCTCACACCCAAGTATGCTAATTCCACGCATTCATTGGTGGTCAACATCTCATTTATTAGATGAATGAGATCCTGCAGAGCAATGCTTTTCAAACCTGTTACTGGGCCTCTGAATCAACTTACTGGTACATATGCAGCATTTTAAAAGAAAGAGCAAATAGACAATAACAGAGAAAGCTTGTAACCTAACACCTAAGTGTATGATCTTTCAGGCATTTATATTCTTGTGCAAAGCTGATTATAACATTTAATTTACTTCCAACTAGAATTCTAACAAGAGCCACTTAGGGAAAAAAAGTACACTGAAGAGAAACTTTTGAAGGCTTTACCTTTAAGAAAAACTGTTTATAACCTATGACCAGAAAAGTGGTATTTGTTTGTAAGAGTAAATGACACATGTGTGCAGGTGCTCAAGAAAGAGACCAGAGGGTCTGGGGGTCAACTCCCCTGGAGCTGGAGTTACAGACAGTTATGGGCAGCATGGTCCTTAAGTTCAAGACCTTTGGACACTACAGCCCTTTCAGTTGTTGTTTATACACAATTCATACAGCAAATTAAGCTGAAGCAGCCTGGAAATCAAGTTTGAAAAAAGGTTAATAAAATTCTTTGTCTAGTAAGAAGAAGAAGAGAAGAAGAAGAGAAGAAGGAGAGAAGGAGGAGAGGAGAGGAGAGGAGAGGAGAGGAGAGGAGAGGAGAGGAGAGGGGAGGGGAGGGGAGGGGAGAGGAGGGGAAGAAAGAAAGAAAGAAA